ACTTCTACGCTTGTCTTTGAAGTGGTAGGGAAGCAAGGATCAGAAATTACCCCAGAGACGGCTGTGGTGATCTTTGAAGCTCGGCTTTGATAGCTTTGTGCTTTTCACTTGCTGAGGTTCGGCCGGAGATGAGCAGCGGCTCCCTAGCCGAATAGGGGTAATTAATGCAACCGTAGTTTTAACAGGAGCTGGTGCTGCTTAACAAGAGAATTCAATGAGGACGCTTAGGTTCTGTAACTGCTACAAGACAGGATGAGCTGCTGCATGCTATTACCTTTCAATGCACTACAGAACCCAGGAGGAAAGGCCTGTGTCCTACCGAGGTGCCGATTACAAGGGTTCAAAAGCTAAAACGTCCTCAAAGTAACTCAAAGGGCAAAAAAAGAGATACGAGCACAAAAACGGAACTCCCAGCATCTTTAGATGATAATGTACAAATGGCCACACGCAGGCTACATTTTTTCCTCTCTGAAAGATCAATAAACCTAAAGGCTAGGTTTATATGAGAGGCTTTTGAAAAGACTTAGAAATATCTGAGAAGAGATCCGGACCTTACAGGTGTAAAAATAGGCAAGCTCCTAGAAATAAAACCGTGGTTTACAGAACAAAGCAAAGCGTAAAGGATTGACACTTCTTTAAAGCATACCTAAAGACCTACAAGTTTTGGATAGAGTGGGGGGATGTGATGAAACCCCTGTAAGGTGTTTTTTTTATCGCTGTCTGTGTTGCTGCAGGAGACATTTATCCTCTTTATTGTACGAAGAAGATGGAGAGGCGTTTTCCTGAATGGTAAAGAACCATTTGCGTTTTCATAAAATCCTCTGCAACCCCCTTCCGTTTAACCCCAACTTAATGACATGTAAGAAATGATTTACCATGGAGAGCTCTACTGTTCTGTAATGTTACTCCAATGGAGTTCTGAATGCTTAAAGGAGAACTATGGGGTCAGGGCTTTTCCCCATAGTGCTCCTAAGGGTAACGGGAGGACACAAACTAGCGTGACCCAAAGCTCAGTATACCGCGAGCTACAGCTCGCGGTATCCCGAGATGCCGCAGCTGGGACAGATGCCGCCATTACTGTCTGGATCCACCCAGCTGCGTGAGTGACAGCTGGCTCTGCCTATCTAGAGGCAGAGCCAGCTGTACCCGCCCCCTCCCATGTCCGTTCCGCCAGTCAGCGCTGGAGGATCAGAGCAGGGAGGGGGGAATCCCTGCAGGGAGCCGTGAGTGACAGTCACGGCTCTCTGCACAGATAGATTGAGAAGTGAGCGAGCGGCGGTATGCGTTCGCTCACTTCCCGATCTATTGAGCCGACCTGTGGCAGTCTCATTGTCACAGGTCGGCTAGAACTATGAGGATGAGTGATTTTCACTCGTCTCATAGTTCTCCTTTTAATGACATGTAAAAGATGATTTACCATGGAGAGCAGATATCGTTATCTGCTCTACTATTCGGTAATGGTACTCCAATGGAGTTCTGAATGCTTAATGCAACAGAAAGAACTCACGATTGGAGGAAAGGCCAGTTACAGGACTTAAGTAGGG